TCCGCATTTGATATTTTTAATATACATTTTCATTATGAATTTCCGGGGCTGTTACAGTTGGTATCAGAGCTGCATTTCCTCGGACCCATCCCTTACACAATAGTGCCTTAGAGAAATACTCACCGATATATTGTTACTCAATCATTTCTTGTGAATGCAGGTACACGGGAATGAGGAGAGGAAGGCCCCCACTAAACCGAGCGGCCCCAGATAATTCACTTCGGGAGGATTTAGATAGACTATTCGAGATGGTGGAGGCTCTCACAGCTGCCCAGCGAAGGTAAGAAGAGAGAAGGGAGTTACCGGGACCTCCTCCGCTAGCGCAGGTTGAGCCCCCGCTACAGCAAGCTGATCCCGAGCCACCCCGGCAGGAGCCTGTTCCTCCACGATACCACCCGACACCACAACCGCGGTACGACCCGGTACCACAGCCACAGTACCAACAGGTGCCGCCACAGCACATTCCAGTGCCCCCACCACATCAGCAGGCGCCACCACAGGGTCCCCCAGTTCACCCTCAGCCGGCCCCAGTCCCTCTACCTCGGGACCCCACTCCCTCCTTGATCGACCCCGGCTTCATAGAGAGGTACAGAAGACTGAACCCTTCTACTTTTTCAGGGGGATCCTCTTTCGAAGAGGCCCAATACTGGCTGGCAGAGACTGAGAGAGCTTTCGAGACCTTGGGAGTAGTTCTTGAGCAGAGGGCTGTCATTGCCTCCTACATGCTGGTAGGGGAAGCAGTACGCTGGTGGGAGCTCAAGCGGGCCACCTTACCTGCACCAGTTACTTGGAAGCAGTTCCTAGCGGCCTTCCATGCGGAGTATCTCCCTAAACACATCCAACATCTAAAGGAAATGGAATTTGCTCAATTGGTCCAGGGAAATATGACAGTGTCGGAGTATGCCCGTAAGTTCCTAGAGCTGGGCCGACATGCCCAGGAGACATTGTTGGATGAGGGCCGAAAGGCCAGGAAATTCCACTGGGGTCTCCGCCCGGAGATCAGACAGCACTTACTGGTGATGGAGCTCGAGACATATTCGGCAGTCCTGGCAAAGGCGCAGATCATAGAAAGGAGCTTCGACACCCGCCCTCAACTAGCGGGAAGTTCCCGACCCTCAGCCCCGCTCCGCAGGCCAGCGCCTACCATGCTTGTCCAACCCAGTAAGAGGCCCAGACCCGCCGTCCAGGCCCCTCCTCAGGCTACGGGGGCAGCACGTGGGAAGATCTGCCAGTACTGCGGCAGGGATCATGGGGACCGACCCTGCTACTGCCTCAACAACACCTGTCGCATATGCAGCAGTGCCCAGCACTATGCAAGGGAGTGCTCTAGGAACCAGAATCAAGGGAGGCCTCCAATCTAGGGCAGAGTTTACAACCTTACCCAGAAGGATGCCGACGCAGACCCGGACGTGGTACATGGTATGTATACTATCTCTGGCCACATTGCTCATGTTTTGTTTGATACTGGTGCATCACATTCTTTTATTTCACATGTTCTTGCTTCCAAAATTTGTGTATCACCTGATAGACTTGATTCATTATTGCTTGTATCTACCGCTGGGGGGGAAACATTGCTAGGAGAGGTTGTCTACAGGGCATGTGCCGTAGAGATAGCAGATAGGAAATTGAGGATAGACCTGATAGGGTTAGACACAGGGGGTTTTGATGTAATCCTAGGAATGGATTGGCTAGCGGCGTATCACGCCACCATAGACTGCTTTAACAAAAAGATTGTATTTAATCCTCCCAACGAGGAGCCATTTACAAGTTAATAAAATTA